TTAATATGCACAATTATTTACCCTGAAACTAATCAGGTCTGCATAGTCTAAAGAATCTATGTACCAAGTTTCATTGAAATGTGATGATTAGTACTTGAGATATCAGTGGAAAAACCGAAAATTGACTAATCATTATGCAAATTAGGTAATTAGTATCCACGGATTATTACCAAAAACTAATCAAAACCTAGCATTAGTTCAGAGCATTTATGTACCAAGTTTCATCAAAATCCAATGAGTGGTTCTTTAGATATCAGTGGAAAAGTCATAGAACAACTAAAAATTAGCTAATTATCATGCAAATTAGGTAATTAACGAGCATGGATTTTTACCAAAACCTAATCAAATCTGCGCTTTGGCCCAGAGCATCTATGCACCAAGTTTCATCAAAAAAACCGATGTATGGTTCTTGAGATAGCAGTGGAACAGTCGGACACACATACACACATACACACATACACACATACAGACACACTAACTGCAAAGACTCCCATTTTGTGCTTCGCACATGGGAGTCAAAAATTGCGCAAAAGTGGGGGGTGGGCGCTTGCCCGGGCATGGGCGCTAACGCGGTCGAGTACGATATATGGAACATAGCATGGGGGCAGTGTAGAGATGCAAGATGTAATTGGGCTTATTATCAGTTTGTCTATAACTACTTACAGATTGGTTTCTTTGTTGACAGAGAAGTTTTCATTGTGACTTCTATGTAAATGTATAGCAACATTTGGTATATAAAGGATTGGTCGGTCAATATGTACAAGTCGATGCTCCAGTTTTTCACCATTCTGAAATCAACAAATTAAAATTTTGAACAAAATTTCATGTGGGTCTCATGCTACACAAAGCAAAGTACACACATATGTTGGTCTAAAATATAGTTTATTTATAAACAAAAAATTCTATGCACATGATAGTGATGACCACTGTGTAATGTGATGAGTCATGTATGATGAATGTGCAAGGTGTTCTATGATGTTGGTATTCTGTAATGAGTATGTAAGTTCATGGTAACGTTCAGAACAATTTTGATTGACACATTGATATCGCTGCAACTCATACCGCTTCAAATCATGCATATTTACAATGCATCTATTCAATAGGGCACACATCATATTGCATGGATATAAACATTGCATATTACCTTAACAATAACACGTCCTGCAAGTTTTAAATCTCTGTCTAACCAAGTATGCCAGATACCACCACCATAACATTCTATACCAACAGAGAGAAAACCATTCTTAATTCTCCTGGAGTTTGGTTTCACCTGCAAAGTTCAAATATGAAACATTTACACACAGAAAATGAGTACATAGTATTACTATCAGTTATTGTATCATATCAGTAATAGAACATTTTCTGTTCACTGCAAGATCCCACGTTATGCACGAGATCAAACGTTAAAACAGGACAAACAAAGGCTATAGCGTCCTGGTGACATCAAAACATCTCGTGGGATTGGACAAATGTTCTGTTATTTCCACGGCAAATAATGTTCTTTACACATTTGATGAGAGTCAATTTTAATGAAGTAGGGGTATTTCAAAGCCATATTTCCTTCTGAAAAAACAACATTGAACTATATATAAAAAAAAAAATCACGTTCAAAATCAAATCATTTGATTATTTTATTCATCTTCCTCGCATTATGTAAGATCTTGCAATTAACAAATACTAAACAACAGCACCAAATGATAATATGTCTAGATGTCTCTTATATAAAAGATAGACCATGAAATCTGTGCATGGTCACTCACCTTTAAACATGGGCTATCTGTATGAGCTCCAACCATACTGAAGCCATTGCCTGGTTTGTACTGTCCACCCACTGCAAAGGCGATAATAGTTGACTTGTTACGAGTAAAGAAGTATTTGTGCTTTGGTTCAATGACCCAGTGTTCTGTTTCACGCAGTTCTTTAAAGCCAGCTGATAATAATCGCACACGACATTCTTCAACAACTAAAATAAAGAAAAATGAAAAAGTAGAATATTAACATGGTTACAATTATTGATTTATAAGATTAGGGTTTGCAATGGTGATATATGCGATGAAGAACACGCATAAATTGAAGAACTCGAATGGCGTTATGAACCGAAAATTTCTAAGCACCCTCTGTGTTCTGAGTTGCTATTGGCTAGAATTGACAACATTTCTGAGCATGCACTGTGTTCTGAGTTACTATTGGTTAGAACTGACAAGATTTCTAAGCACACACTATGTCCTGAGTTGCTATTGGTTAGAACTGACAAGATTTCTAAGCACACACTATGTCCTGAGTTGCTATTGGTTAGAACTGACAAGATTTCTAAGCACACACTATGTCCTGAGTTGCTATTGGTTAGAACTGACAAGATTTCTAAGCACACACTATGTCCTGAGTTGCTATTGGTTAGAACTAACAAGATATCTAAGCACACACTATGTCCTGAGTTGCTATTGGTTAGAACTGACAAGATTTCTAAGCACACACTATGTCCTGAGTTGCTATTGGTTAGAACTGACAAGATTTCTAAGCACACACTATGTCCTGAGTTGCTATTGGTTAGAACTAACAAGATATCTAAGCACACACTATGTCCTGAGTTGCTATTGGTTAGATCTGACAAGATTTCTAAGCACACACTATGTCCTGAGTTGCTATTGGTTAGAACTGACAAGATTACCAAGCACTCACTGCATTCTATGATGCTATTGGATAGGACCTACATTTGATTGATGCGCAAAGGAAGTAGTAAGTTGTAAAGTTATGCATGTATAGATGATCAAATAATTCATATAGAGCTGTCAACTTACCATGAAAAGGCGAGGGTGATCGATTGACAAATGTCAGAAACTGTTTTGCTGCATTCAAAACAACTTCTTTAGTTGCCGACTGTAATGAATGAAATATTTATCATAAATTTCAAACACATGAACACAGGACCAACAGGAAGTATGTCTGAATATCCTCTGAATCAAAGTCTATATAAAAATCTACAACTTTCACAAATTAACAAAATTACAAATCCATACATCTCTCCAGGGCATGACTTATTGATTGCTGTTGGGGCAAAATCAAGAACTACAGCATGTATGTACATACAGTGCATTGCAAGCGCAACTTAAATACATTCAGCTAGTTTTAATCTGGCTTGTTTTCAAAAGCACCACATATAATATGTTTATTGATGTACTTAATAGAACTGATGTAACCATAAAACGTTAAAGCATGTGAATAGTTAGAGTTGAGTTATTAGTTTATACATAAGTAGAGCAGAATTCAAGTTGGTGCCACGCACGATTATATAGTGTCACCGCTGCTAAAAATGACTGGAAACACTATTCAAAGTTGAACTATTTTTAGTCTGTTGCCACACAATGATTACCTTATCCTTGAACAACATTCTGAAGATGCTTTATCATGAAGATAAAGGGGATTATTTATGTTGCTGTGCTGAGAGTATCACAAAAAAACTAAAATTTTGATGAAACAAGCAGCCTCTCGGCTGATAGGGAAGGCTCCTCTGTTAGCATTGCACATTTCAATTAAAGAATTGAAGATATCATCACAAAATAAACAAATCTGTAGTACCTTTATGTATACATGTAATATCAAATCAATCAGACTTGCGGTTTTTAACAAAGAGTCAAAAATATAAATTTTCACCAAAAATTACAAAAATATTCATTAAAATTGGGAATTGAAGATGTCATCACGAAATGAACAAATCTAAGAAAGGACAACCTGTAGTACATATATGCACATGTATAATTTCAAAGCAATCAGACTTGCGGTTTTTAACAAGTTGTTAAAAATATCATATTTTACAAAGAATGACAAAAATATTCACCAAAATTAGAGAATTGAAGACATCACAAAATGAACAAATCTAAGAGATGTCTACCTAAAGTACATACATGTATACACCAAGTATCAAAGCAATCAGGCATGTAGTTTTCAAGAAGTTGATATGCACAATCACTAATATGATTAGCTCTGCTCGATAAAGTCGACAGTGGAGCTAATAAAAAATTGGGCTGTACTGTATAGCACACATGCAGTTGTTAGTGGGTTTTGAGAGTGGTATTAATGGTGAAAATTGAGAAGAAGACACATTTGGAGCCTTGGGTTGCTTTGGTTAAGTCTGCGAAATAAAAAAAGACCTCTTTGCAGCATGGTTCATCAAAATACTGCATGGAGCATTTTGTTGTGGTGAATTTTTGAGTAACAAATGTGGTTGTGCAACCCAGGTCATGGCCTAATCAGCTGACTTTCAGCCAATCACTGATAGTGTAATAACTAGTGTTCAATACATACAATGTACTACTTATTATTGCTTTCCCACATTCTGTTACTGAATCAAAATACATGTGAATTGTACGGTTAAAAACGTTACCCTTCATGGGATACACGAAATTGTGTTTAGAATGATTTCCAGACATTGCAGGTTTGGTAAATAAAAGACGTTACGGCCCTGAACATATTGGCCATATTGGTCGCTAAAAGTAAACATCCGTTGTGGATTTAATAAATTAACACTAGATATGAATACTATTTACTACTTCGATTAAGATTTATACCAGGGCCGTAAAGCACAGACTGTTTGTGGCCGTAATATCCAAAACCAGGGCCGTAAAGCACAGACTGTTTGTGGCCGTAATATCCAAAACCAGGGCCGTAAAGCACAGACTGTTTGTGGCCGTAATATCCAAAACCAGGGCCGTAAAGCACAGACTGTTTGTGGCCGTAATATCCAAAACCAGGGCCGTAGCGTCTAATATTTACCAGAGACGACAGTGACCACGGCCGAAACTAGCAGCTACCTTTTCGATTGCGGTGAACATTCTAAAACGAAACTAAACGAATTTTCGCAAATCATGGAATAAATGTCCAACGGCGAGAATACGTATACTACGGGTAATCTGACTTGTAAATAATTTCGATTATGACAAGTTCTGATACTTTAGGCACTTGACTTAGTCGAAATGTCTTTACAACATTCAACAACAGTACCTCTACTTACCATGGTGGCAGCAGCCATTTGCAATACGGGGGTGCTCGACCTGAAATTTACTAGTTGTAGCCGGTTACATTATTTCAAATAAAAATTACATATACCGATTAAAAGTTGGTAACAGTTTGTTTTAATTCGGCACACACATCATCAAACAACGATACGAATAGATTATATATATTTTTATTTTCAAATAGCTAAGTGTTGCTCCCCAGTAAACGAGACACATCGCTCCCTAGGACAGTTTAAACTATGTCTTTGATCATCGAAAACTTACCTCGGTCGTCGTGATTATACAATTTATTAGATATCCATTCAAATGTACTACTACAATTGTTTTAAAATATGCCGATATTAAAAACAAAAAACAAGACAATTTGTGCAAAATGCTCCAAGTATACGGATTTTATTTTATAGAAAGATAGGAGGTCAATATGATCGTAAATGTTCGGCTAACGTCGATGTTTTTCGATTGTTGACAACAGAAAGGCGCGTTTTTGGAAATTTGAAGTTGTGATGTTGGTGTTATCTTCGTGATTTCTTGAAAATGGCATCACCTACACGAAGACGTCAAGCATTTCTGGAAGCAGTAGAAGAAGATCGTACCGAAATCTTTTTAGATTTTATCAAACAACATGTAAGTGGTGATCCGTCGAGCTGTCTGCCGCTAGTAACTATAGGCACACCAAGTGATTTTAAAATCCAAAAGGGATAACTACATTTCTTCATTTACTGAAAGACCCTTTCTGAAAAATAAGGAATCTGTTAAAATTTTTCACAAACCTGCATTAGCCATCAAAATATAGGCATTTCAGTGTTTCCGTTAGATTTATTTTTCTTGCGTATTTCTATACGCATTCACCATTTTTTTGCGTACAATGTTGCAAAATATGCGTAAAATCACACACGAGTCTGTTGACCAGATAACAATCCGTGTTGTTGTTTATGTTTGCCTGTTTTATGTTTACAATATTTTAACAGAAAGCAGGTTAAGAAGTTGTGAACCCCAATGATGTGCAAACTGACCAGAAACAAATGATTAGTTTGAGAGACCACTAGTAATGGTGACCACCGAACTCGGCCAGATTTCTACTCGGCCAGTGACCGATCACGGCCATTGACCGTACTCGGCCAGCATATGTGCATAAGGGTGTCAATGATGCAACAGCGAGCGCTGTGTTACAGACTGTCAGAGTCATATCACAACAAAATATAAAAAATGTACGGGCGTCAAAGGGTGTCGATTTCAGTGATGCCTATGTGCTTTGTTAATAAAAAAAGGGTTGTCGATTTCAGTGACGCAACAGCCAGCGCTGTTCAGTTCAATGTTCAGCCAATGTTGAAATCAACAACATGCCGGAGAACCAGTAGCGTTTGTGTGTGTGTGTTTGTAAACTTGCGTTGTTGAAATCGACAACAAAATAGTCACGGGAGTTAGTCAAAAAAAGTCAGTGAAACGGATGCGTCACTGGGTGTGTTGTGTATCATATAACATCTGGAAATAAAATGCCGCCACGGCAACAGTCGTGAAAGAAGGTGACAATTGTTGACCAATGACCAGTTTACACCTCGACATTCACGACTGGCAGAGTTGTGCATTTTTTTCCTGGCCGAGTTGAAATCTGGCCGAGTTCGGTTGTATTCCTAGTAATACAGAGGTGGATGGAGACTGTTCCATCACAAACACATTGCACCATCTGCAACGTATTCCATAAATCTTGGCTCGTTCAGGACTTCTCATAATATTCAGTCATATCAGAATATGCATACTGTGTGATTTATGTATATAGCATAATCTTTGTGAATCTTTTAAGGCAGTTTGTCACTACTGAGCAAATAACTGCAACATTGCAATGCATTATGGGAGAGAACCTTCCATTGTATATACTGGTAATAAAATGTTTTTGAAATAAGGATTCTGATTTCATATTAATGATAATACACGACTTTTCATTTGTTTCAAGTTCTGTTTTGTTTACAATTCCACAATAGTGTCATGTATCATAACATGACTTGTGTGTTTTTATTTTAGCTAGTACATGTAAAAATTAAGACATTAATTTTTACATACATGTACATATATGCACTAATGAAAACCATACAATTGTGAAATCTATTAGTGTTTTTAAGCTCTTGCGAAAACCTGATGCGAAAATGTTGAATTTATTTTTCTGTTTCTATTCCAGTCTTGTAAAGAACATGACTTCAATTTAGATGAATTTGTGCAGACCTTGAATCATAAACAGATTGAAGTATTATGGGATGGGCTAAACAAACTCTGTAGTGAAACATTGATAAGCTCACCATTGGAAGCTGATGAGTCTGATGAGAACTATGAAGACATGAAAAAAGTAATGAAGCAGGGATTAATTCATTATTTTTATTTTCATTCATTCAATTTCCACCAATTAGCTTTAGTATTTTACATTGTATTTGTTCAATATTGATTAGGACACAGTTACAATGTATGACTGTGTCACTCTTAAAATAGTATGCATGGATAAAAATGTGCAACATGATATTAAACAAGGGAACAGAGGCACAGTGCCCTCATGCCATGCCGGATGGCCATGTGCCCCCTTACCCTGGGAAGCAGATCCTCTGGCAACCATAAAATTCTGATTGACCAGGAATCACATGTGGCCACAGTCTTCAACTGTGACCTGTCTGATAGTAATTTTGGCCCCAAGGAAGCCATAGAATGCTCCATCTCAACTTAGAATTATCAAAAACTCCACACCCTGGTAGGTAGAGAGAACCCTATCTCTCCCACTTGGTGGCGCCTGATATTGCAATACAATTTGTGCAGCAGTGGGTTGGAATATGGAGGTGTGTGAGGATACAAACTGACAGTCTGTTAATGTATCAAGATTGTGTGGAAGTATATAATACAGAAAGCCTACTTATGATTAGATAGAGAAAAGGGTATTTGATTTACCATCACTGTTATGTAGCTTTTACTTTTTCTTTCTGTCCTCAGATTTTAAGTAAATATTGACACGTGCATAAATTATTAATTATTAGTTATAAATTTCGTATACAATCAATTCTATGATATTCATAGTTGTATTTATTTTTAAAAAAGCTGGTGTTTGACCTCGACAGTGAAATATACATCCATGCATATCATGATCTTGATCAGATTTGTTAACTGTAAACTGATATTCATTTTATAGTGGGAATAGTTTAATTTTTTTTACTTGGCTGCATTACTGTAATGTAATGATTTGATTCTTTTTTTTTTCAGAATGTGGATACTACCATGGAGATTCTAAATGGAATATTGACAGTAGCATTTTGTTTTGTGCATAATGAGAGTGAACTGTTGATACCAGAGTCTCTTCAAGACATTGTCTCTATATTACATGGTAATTTATTTTCATAGATTTTTAATCTTTTGGTTTTCAAGTCGATAATATATATATTTGGATATCAGTAATTTTTTAATGAAATTCTGTTAAATGAAACAAGGAGAGAGTTTCTTTTGTACCCTTACCCCAGCCACTTCCTAATTTAATTGTACATGCTCTTCCTAAGAACACCTGTAGTTATCTAGAGGGGTATAATACATTTGAATGTCAGGGCTGGGGTTAGTTGGGTAATAATGGGGGTACAAAAAGAACTTTTTTTCTAAAACAAAGCCAAGTGTATTACTAACACAATAAACTTGACATACAATGTATTGAACTCATTTTACAATCTTTGTTTTTAGGAGTTTTATTAGATTTTCCTAAATCGGCAACAAAGTTACAGAACAATATCTCCAAGCTCTGTGAACACTGGTAGGTGAAAACTGGTAATATTACTTGTACTGCCCACAGTAATGATAAACTTATCATCAAAGTACAGCTTATATTTGGGCTAATTACTCTGCACAATTTAGATTTATGTCTGTTTTTAAAGCAAGCTAAGCTTGCTAAATATTAACTTACACTCAGACTGTACTGTAGCAGAACTTAACTTGTGGATTGAGAGGACACCCATTTTTGAAAGCAAAATTGATAAAATTGCCTTCGTAAAGTGATTGCATATACACTATATCAATTAATCTTATTCAGTATGTTTTGTTTCATCTATAGGTGGAATAAAGATTTTCCAAAAAAGGAGCAAGTTGTCAAGAATGCCTTCTTATTTATACTGAATTCCACTTTGAAACCAAATGCATTGGTAATTGATTTTGTTTGTTTCGTATATATATATATTTGTTTGGCAATTTGTGGAATGTATTCCCATTTTTCAAATCAAAAAATCAGTGTGTAGCTTTCCTATTTAAAAAAATATTCTATTTTGGGTATGGCTTTTTTTGGAACATTTCACTATATCCTGATGTCTAAATTTCGAGTCAAATTTATGTTTTCATAGTCACTGACACCTGTTAATAAAATACAGTTTTCATCGTATTAAACTAATCAATGAAGAAGTATTTATCTTCCGAATGTTACCTATTGAAATCATTGCCAAAATTATTGTACTCAAACATCAATAAAACACTTCCTTGTGTTTTCCTACACTAATATTCAGGCTGTATTCCATATAGCATTGTGACTGGATAATAACCAACAATCTATCATGTCAAAGGAAACAGTTTTGAATCAACACAATCGTGGAACAGAATGGTGGATATCGTTTTGCATCAAGTGTTTGGGATTTATTATGATGGAATTAAGTTGATTTTACAATTCAATAGCAAGCCAAAGATTTGATTGTTTGTACATTATCATGATAATGAGTAATGATTTGCATTTATATCACCTTTAAAATTAATAAGTTAAATTAACAACTTGACCAAACTGACTATAGATCAATTACTATGGAGCAAAATGATTTGTGTTTGTTTTCATTTGAATCTCTGCTGTTACCATCATAATGAAAACCAACATATGTACCGTACTCCACCGCGTTAGAGCCCACGGTCCTCACCTCAGAAAATCATGATTTTTTTTTAGGGGTGGGCGCTTTTCCGAGCACCCCCCTCGGAAAATTTTAAGAGTGCAGATTGAGGGGGATTTTACTTTTTTGAGGGAAAATAGTATTAAGAAATTAGTTGTGTTACCATTGACTTTGAAGAAACAGAAATGGTCACAAAAATGTGCACATTTTATTATAATATTAATTATGTACCACCTGAATTTACAAGATTAAAAATAGTAAAGTCTGTTGAAATACAGTTGTAGTCAAATTCTTCATCATTATCTCCACTGACGATGTGTTGGATTGTATGCAAACTCTCAATGAAAAACACTTTCCACTATGATGTATTTGCATAATTTGACCTGCAGTAACGTTCTTTGACCTAATAAGTCAAAGTCTGTTATTAACCAATCAAAATGCTGTGTTCTTCGCATTCACAACATATTCACAGCGACCAATATCCAAGCTGTTTCATATACAAACGATTACCAGTATTCGTTAAGCAATGATCAAAAACCAGTTTCAAAATTAGTGGCATTTTGAAGGGGTGGGCGCTTTGCTGAATGTGACCCTGAATATAAAAATTGTGCAAAAGTGGGGGTGGACGTTTGACCGGACATGGGCAGTAACCCTGTCGTGTGCGGTAATATGTTACAATAACTGAGTAACAACTTTAAACTTTTGTTTACTTTAAAAAAAAATTTTCCAGCTAATTATTTAGCAGATTTTTGTAATTTATTGGCTGCTAAAATGTTTTCATCTCAGAATTTGTTTCTTGTTTTCTTGATTTGACTCTAATTGTGGCTTTAATTATTGAAACAAACAACATTAAACTGAAAGTACATTGGTGTTATGGACATCTGAAGAATCAAAACATCTTGTAAACTAACATGTACTATCTGCTGAGATTCTAACATTGTCTATTAATAATTCAGTCAAGGTTTGATACAAATGGTGGCCATTCATTTTCGCTTAATGTCTAAATTAGAAGCACGTCTAAATCTGAATGCGTGCAATATATAAAATGAGTAAATTCATGTTACGCTTGAAAACCATCTTTTTAGTTGCTAAATAACTTTGTTTTTACAGATAGGCGATGTTAAAAGGTTATGGTTACTTCGACAGTCTCTTCTACTGCAAGACTTTGGTGCTAATAAAAGCATGGAGTTGAAAGACATGTTAGAACAGTGTGTGGTTTCTCCAGTATTTCTAAAAAGTGTTGAAGTTAGTATTATTATGTTAAATAACCCAATTAAATAATTGTGTCAAAGTTATTACAACGACAAGACATAATTGTGTCTTTAAATGTTAATTCAGCCAACTATTAACTATATTAATAAAAAAAGTACCGCAGTTGTCTGAGTATAAACCCCCCTCCAAATTTGCAGCATTTTACAAGTCATTTATTCGATTTTTGTACGTTATTATAATCACTGCTGTGAGTAATAATCAACAATTGTGAAACGCAGCATGACTGGATTGCGTAACCGTGATCATTTGCTGCTACGCAATGACAATGCTAGTCAATGAAGACACTCTAGTATCGTACACATGACAATTTGGTTATGAATAAATTAGCATAAATTATCGCTCAGGAAAAATTTTAACTTTTATCCACCCCCAATTTTGCCGTTTTCCCGGAGGGGTTTATACTCGGACAACTACGGTATATGTGTGTTTAATAGACCAGTCTTGGTATTACCCTATGATGTATTGCTGCATTTACCTTCTGCAATTTTTGTTACACAGGGTCGTCGTTTTCTAAGCTTTATTTTTGGAATGAATCCTTCCTTTATTGAACAACTTCATAGAGCTATCAAAACACAGTTACCGTCTTGCACCAAGTAAGTCTCATCATATTCAATAAACTAAACACTATGTGAGAAACATAGAGTGCCATGATCATGGTAAAGTCAATCAATGTTGGTGACCATTTCTAAGCACTCGCAATGCATAACATATATGCATGTTAACTACATTATCTGACCACTCTTTCTATTATTTAGAAATTAAATTAATATTTAGCATTCTGTTCATACTTGTAAAACAATTTTCATGTTTTTTCAAACTGAACTTGTTTGATTTTGGTCAACTCAAATTTCGTTTTTGCAACAGTACCATTTAATTCTTAACTAGACCAATCATTAAGTCAAATGTGAATGCATCAAAAAATAATCCAATCACCATATAAAGACCACACGTCTCTAAAAACTAAAATTTTATTGAAGTCCCTTGGGTGGTCGCTATACAAGGAAATGTTTGAGTTTACTATGAAATGAGTTTCAGAAAACCATTGAAGGTTTTCTTTCATGTACATATATGTGTGAATTGTGCTGAGAATATGGATGCAGTTTTAACAGAATAAATAATTTTCAACCTTATCTGAAGAAATTGTTTTAGTTTGTAAAAATTGTTAGGCTGCCCAACAGTTATGATGATTTGAATGTTTGTCAGATTATGATTTATTGTTAATAGAATAGAATGTATTAATTTTAAAGTATGTTTGTGTTGGTATTAGAACCATGGTGCAGAATTATGCAGAGATTTATTTTAGAGCTTGGAGAACATCTAGTGGGCCGTATCTTGAGAAAATAGAGATTCATTGCCTGCAGGATTATATGGATCATGCTGTACATGCTGTTAGAAGTGGACCTAAACCCCTGGCAAGTCTACTTAGACAGGTGAGATATTAGACCTAAACCCCTGGCAAGTCTACTTAGACAGGTGAGATATTAGACCTAAACCCCTGGCAAGTCTACTTAGACAGGTGAGATATTAGACCTAAACCCCTGGCAAGTCTACTTAGACAGGTGAGATATTAGACCTAAACCTCTGGCAAGTCTACTTAGACAGGTGAGATATTAGACCTAAACCTATGACAAGTCTACTTAGACAGGTGAGACATTAGACCTAAACCCCTGGCAAGTCTACTTAGACAGGTGAGATATTAGACCTAAACCTCTTGCAAGTCTACTTAGACAGGTGAGATATTAGACCTAAACCTATGACAAGTCTACTTAGACAGGTGAGATATTAGACCTAAACCTCTGGCAAGTCTACTTAGACAGGTGAGATATTAGACCTAAACCTCTGGCAAGTCTACTTAGACAGGTGAGATATTAGATCTAAACCTATGGCAAGTCTACTTGGACAGGTGAGATATTAGACCTAAATCTCTGACAAGTCTACTTAGACAGGTGAGATATTAGACCTAAACCTATGGCAAGTCTACTTAGACAGTTGATATATTAGACCTAAACCTATGACAAGTCTTCTTAGACTTAAAATAAACTGTTGTATTTATTAGATGAACATCTGTACTTATGTAACAAATAATTTCTTCTATTTCAGTTTCTCAGTTACATTCATAAACAGAGATTGATTCATCACAATACTGATGAAATGCTGCAAAGATTATATGAACCTATATTATGGCGAGCACTAAAGGTACTCATTTGTGTGTGTGTTGTGAAACTTGCCTTGCATCTATAAATAATTTATTAATAGAATAATGTGTGTTTTAATTCAGATTTTTGTATTAACAAATGCTTTTTTTTTTTATCCATGTCTCTGACATACCTTTACTGATTATAATAATACTTTACAGTTACATTGTTCATCATGTTTATTTATACGTGTTTGTTTCATATTTTGATTCAATAGGCGGACACATGTCAGTGTTAATTGTTTACCTATATCTGGGTATTCTCAATGGCTTGTCAACTATTACTTCATGGCATTTGTTGTTTCTTATTACAGTGTGCCAATGGTTTTGTACGGGCTAATGCAGCATCTATACTAATAGATGCTTTTCCATTACAACGTCCGGATGCTCCTATTGAAGAGAATGATGCACTGATGCAAAAACAGTTTGATACTTTGGATGTAGGTGTTGTTTATATAATTGCTCACATGTACTGTATTTACTAGACTCAATAATACGGTTGTTCCGTTTGTTTTGGTGTATGTTTCGCCCAAGCTTACATAACACATCATATTGGTATTTGTGTTTCATGGTGAAAGTTACTGTGAATTCTGTAGTTTTCGTCACGATAGCAATTTGTGGGGGAGGTCATGAGCAATCAGATACATGTATGCTTTGATTTTAAAGTAGAATGCTAGTTTTCACATGTACATAGCAAGATTTGAAATTATGATACAGTAGAACGTCGATTATCCGAACGTCGATTATCCGAAATGTTCGGTTATCCGAACCTACTGTGTGTCTCCCAAAGTTTGTATGCAGGTCTGGCTGTGTTCCGTATAATACAAAAGTCAACTGTGAACAATAAATACTACAGTCGCCTTGTGTGATTTCCTGGTGCAACACTTTCAATAAAGCTGTTATCAACATGTACCGGTAATCCGACGTCTTTCACGTGTACGTTCATTGTTTACAGTGTCTGCGCAAACAATGAAACGCATTACAGTATCCAATAATTTCCTAAATTCAGACAAGCCTATTACGCCACACCAGTGTTCCACTGTAAATAAAAAATGTCCTAAAAACACAAACTTCATCAAATGTCTTCTCCACTTCTCCAGTCAGATCCTTAACTTTACCAAGTTGTAAGTCACCGCAGTTCGGATACGTTTCCCGGGAAAATTGTACGGGGTTCCACTGCCGTCAAAGAAACGCGGCCATGAGCCGATCCCAAGTTTTTTCCGATTTTTAATTTTAATGTCCCG